CGGAGGCGTCCCATTCATAGGCTTGCCATATGTTAAAGCTGATTTGATGACAAAGCAAGCAAGGCACCTCATCCTTTCCATGGTTTCCCTTTCCTCTCCAAGGCATCAGCTAACATCCCAAGACTAATGGTCAGACCAGTATTAGTAAGAGGAAAAGCAATAGATCAAAGAGAAATTGGTAAGTCAGTACTTAAGGTTCTACTGGTTCAATAGGTCTAACTTTAATTGGGACCACCAATCAGATGAAAATCAATGGATCTATTTTAGCTGACAATATCGTAATTGGATTTAGTGTGAGTTTCCATTCTCAGGGTACATTCACACTGAAGAATGAATGGGGTTTGACACCGCTTCAACTGCCATGGCACAATGCTATGGGGTTGTGAGAGTTGTAGTTTTACAAGGTGCTGGTTCATCTCTACTAAAGAGTATTAGTTTCTCTGTAAACTACAAACCCTGGGATTCCATAGCATTGAGCAGTTAGTGGAGACAAACCAAATCAATTCTACAATTAGATGCACCTTCAGAAATTCCATTTCCTTTAGCACTCACTACTCAGTTAGGACTGACAAAGCATATTTTGTAAGATGTAGAAGATTGTGTGGTGTCTTGGAGGAATCTGACACATGCTCAGAAGGAACTCCTGCTCCCCAATCTGTAAGAGCTCTTCTCTTGTGGAAGCTTCATACTGATGTTGTGGTTTTGCTTGGATTTAATTCTCTGTGTCGTTCCACACTACCCACCCTCTTCCCTCTCCAGCCATATCCCTTCCAGTCATGTCTCATATGAAAAGGGAACTTGTTAGTGCCCATTCTGAGTGGGAATTCTGCACTTGCTTAGGGGACATCTTTACCTTGCCCTTTTAGTGCTAACATTTGCTGTTGAAAATGGATCCGGTCAGAGGATCCCTCCCACAATCATTGTTATAGATACTTTCTCTTCTGTTCACTTGGTTTGGACACAAGGGACATCAAAGCTTACCACACTGATTTTAAAGTGTGTATTACTTACTTTCAGCAAGACTCCTTAAAACAGTGGTTCCCAACCTGTGGTCCATGGACTACCAGTGGTCTGCAAGAACAAAAAAATATTCTGTGGCCTCACCATTACACACTGTTGCCTCAAAACGATGTGGCAATGAGAGTGAGTGGTCTCACAAAACCCTCTTATATTGCCGAAGCAACAGGGATGTCAGGAGGGGAGAGGCTGACTACTCACAAAAGATTACTACTACCACATCAGCTCTAGATTATTAAATGTGGCTCTCTGTGGGCGAGCAATTGGCAACTACTGGATGGCATATACTCTGTATCAGAAACGAGAACTGATGTGGTCTATCCAATGCAATTTTCTGAATCAGCACCCCAAATAACCAAACTGAATCTAAAGTTGACCAAAAACTGATTCATAACCCTTTTGGTACTAATGTTGGAGAGTGGTCCTTGGTCAAGTGGTCACTGATCAAAAAAAGGTTGGGAAACACTGCCTTAAAAAGAAACCAAGATCTGAGTTGATGGCTGCCATAAGTCAAAGCTGACCTGCAGGGACTTATAGGAGAAGAGTAAATTACTGTCTCCATTCAATCCATTTAAATCATTGCCTGAAATAGGAAGACTCTGATGTAAGTGCACTCAGTGTAGCTTTGTGTATCTTCATATCTTTTCCCTAAGGAAAACCTATCACAAGATTGTCTTGGAATAATTTGTTCAGAGGCTGTTTGCCTTCACTTAAATGTATTAGTGTTGTTGTTGTTGTTGTTGTTGTTGTTATTATTATTATTATTATTATTATTACATCTCTTGACTGAGAGCCAAACCTATGCCTTGTCGAAGGCTTTCATGTCTGGAATCAGTGGGTTGTTGTAGATTTTTTTTTGGGTTGTATGGCCATGTTCTACAAGCATTCTCTCCTGGCATTTTGCCTGTATTTGTGGCACGCATCCTCAGAGGTTGTGAGGTTTCACAACCTCAGAAATGCAGGTGAAACACCAGGAGAGAATACTTCCAGAACATGGCCATACAGCTCAAAAAACCTGCGACGACCCAAAACTATGCCTCTCTTTCCCTTTCAGGGGACTTTCTTGGCACCATCGGTTCAAAGGGTGGTTGCCTTCACCTTTGTGAAATGTAAACTCCTTCATGATGCCCCCCCCCTCCCATTCTCCTTCCCTCTCAAGGTGCTTTATGGCAAGATTTTCCCAGGAAAATGCCACTCCCTCCCCCTCAAGGGGCTTTCTTGGCAGGAGTCCTTCACTTCCATGCAATTTAAACCAATTAATTAATTAAGCCATGCCTCTCCCTCCCTCTCAAGCGGCTTTTTGTTGGTAAGATGTCTTTGGGAAAGGGGTTTACCCTCACCTACATGAAATCTACATTAATGAATGATGCTTCTCAATCTATCTTTTGAGGCTTTCGTGTTCAGAGAAAGCTTGCCTTTGCCGGAATGAAATAATAACACTATGTAAAACAATTGGAAACATTTTCTGTTCCTAATTTGAAAGTGTTACTTCCTGTTTAATTTTGCGGTACTTACTTTGAAAGTAGTTGTTTTACTCCAGAAACTTCCTTTTTATGAGATTCTTGTGGGTTTTTTCGGGCTATAGGGCCATGTTCTAGAGGCATTTCTCCTGACGTTTCGCCTGCATCTATGGCAAGCATCCTCAGAGGTAGTGAGGTCTGTTGGAATTAGGACAATGGGTTTATATATCTGTGGAATGGCTGGGGTGGGGCAAAGAGCTCTTCTCTGCTGGAGCTAGGTGTGAATGTTTTAACTGACCACCTTCATTAGCATTTGAAGGCCTGGCTGAGCCTGGGAAAATCTTTTGTTGAGAGGTGTTAAGATGTGCCTGGTTGTTTCCTTTCTGCTGTTTTGCTGTTGTAATTTTAGAGTTTTTTTAATACTGGTAGCCATATTTTGTTCATTTTCATGGTCTTTTCCTTTCTGTTGAAATTGTCCACATGCTTGTGGATTTCAATTTCCTTTTTATGGCTGCCATAAACTCTGTTGACTTGGTTGCTGTGAGTTTTCCGAGCTGTATGGCCATGTTCCAGAAGCATTCTCTCCTGACGTTTTGCCCACATCTATGGCAGGCCTCCTCAGGGGTTGTGAGGTCTGTTGGAAACTAGGCAAGTGAGGCTTAGAGCCTCTGGTGGCACTGCGGGATAAACCGCTGAGCTGCTGAACTTGCTGACCGAAAGGTGAGTGGTTCGAATCCGGGGAGCAGGGTGAGCTCCCACTGTAAGCCCCAGCTTCTGCTAACCTAGCAGTTCGAAAACATGCAAATGTGAGTAGATCAATAGGTACCGCTCCAGCAGGAAGTTTATGGCACTCCATGCAGTCATGCTGGCCACATGACCTTGGAGGTGTCTCTGGATCTTCGATGAGCACCACCCCCAGAATTGGACACAACTAGACTTAATGTCAAGGGGAAACCTTTACCTTTAGTATGGCCATGTTCCAGAAGCATTTTCTCCTGACATTTTGCTCACATCTATGGCTGGCATCCTCAGAGATTGTGAGGTGTATTGGAAACTAGGCAAGCAAGGATTATATATCTATGGAATGTTCAGGGTCGGAAAAAGAACTCTTGTCTGTTGAGGCAAGTATGAATGTTGCAATTGCCCACTTTTATTAGTATTGAATAGCCTTGCAGCTTCAAAGCCTGGCTGTTGTTGCCTGAGGGAATCTGTTGTTGGGAGGTGTTAGCTTGCCCTGATTGTTTCCTGTCTGGAATTCCCCTGTTTTTGGAGTGTTGTTCTTTATTTAGTGTCCTGGTTCTGGATTTTTTTAATACTGGTAGATAGATCTTGTTCATTTTAATAGTTTCCTCCTTTCTGTTGCAATTTTCCCCATGCTTGTGGATTTCAATGGCTTCTTTGTGTAGTTTGACATGTCTGTTGACTTGATTGAGACTCAGTGCGATATTCATTAAAAACTATAGCAAAATGCACTGCAGGATGTCCCGCAAAAACAATGTGTTTGCAGTTTAATAAGAAATAAAGCCACGTTTTTATAATAGAAACAATTAGGAAATGGCATTTATAACCCAGGAACAAAAATCGTGTTAAAAGGTAAAGTTTTCCCCTTGACATTCAGTGTAGTCGTGCCCAGCTCATTTCCATTTCTAAGCCAAAGAGCTGGTGTCGTCCATAGTCGCCTCCTAGGTCATGTGGCCGGCATGACTGCACGGAGCACTGTTACCTTCCCACAGAAGTGATACCTATTGATCTACTCACATTTATGTGTTTTCCAGCCTCTAGGGTGGCAGAAGCTGGGGCTAACAGTGAGAGCTCACTCCACTCCCTGAATCGAATTGTCAACCTTTTGGTCAGCAAGTTCAGCAGCTCAGTGGTTTAACCCACTGCTCCACGGGAGGCATCTAATATGCCATGGACTTCATCACACTAGAGAATGAATCCACTTTAAATCTGGTTTCTGCCTCTTGCAGAATTCTGGAGTTTGTGGTTTAGGGAGGTGCCTTTAACAGTCTCACCAAACTAGAAACCCCAGAATTCTGCAGGAGGCAGAAACTGGATTTAAATACTCTCATGAAGCTGGAAGGTTAAATAGCCTCTGCGTGTCTATCTATATATGTTGTGTGTCTATGGCATTGAATGTTTGCCATGTATATGTACATTGTAATCCGCCCTGAGCCCCCTGTGGGGTGTAAATAAATAAATTGCTTAATCAAGTCACTTCCCTCCCTCCCTCCCTCTAACGGGGTTTTCTGAGGCTGAGACAGCGCGACCCACCGAAACCACCGAGTCAGGATTCGAACCCGAGTCTCCACTTTCGGAGGGTCAAACCCCGACTTTGGGTCTTCCAGTTCTGGGGGCTGAGAAGGAGGCAGCCAGTCGGAGGCGCTCCCAAAGGGATGGGAAGGCTCTCTGCCCGCTTCCAGCCCTCGAACGGATATCTCCCGAACTGGAGGGGAGGCGCCCGGAGGCCGGCCTTTCCTCCCACCGCGCCCACACCGCTTATAAGAGCGACTTGAGCCGGCAGAGCCAGCAGCAGAGACGCCCGAGTCTCGCCTTCCTTGCTCCTATCTCTCTGGCTCCTCTCCGCCCCGTCGAGGCTCTCTCCGTCCATGGCTCTGCCCCGCAAGCCGCGCTGGCTCTTCTCCTGCCTGGCCCTCTTCGCCGCCGGCCTTTTGCTGGAGGGGCGCGGAGGGGGCGCGGTCCCGCTCCCGGGCAACGACGGGGCCGCCCCCATGGCCAAGGTCTACCCGCGGGGGAGCCACTGGGCCGTCGGTGAGTCGGGCAGGACTTGTGGGACCCCAAAGACTGCCCTTCCCCCGGGAGGGAGCTGGGAAAAAGGTCCTTCTGATGCGCCTTCCCCATTTAGGGCCGCCCTCAGGGTCCCCTGGGCAAGTGGGTTCGGAAGAGGGTCGCCCTCGCCTTCCTCTAAAGCCCAGAGTGCGTGAACTGCCTTCCTCTGAGATGGAGAGCCTTGACGTGGCTTTTCCCGAGGCTGAGAGAGTGCGACTTGCTTTCCCCTGAGGCTGAGAGCACGCGGGTGCATCTCTGCTGGAGCACAGCCAGGCATGGGCAAACTTTGGTCCTCCTCCAGGTGTTTTGGAACTGTTAGGAATTGTGGGAGTTGAAGTCCAAAACACCTGGAGGGAGGACCGAAGTTTGCCCATGATTTCTGTAGAATGAGCACAGCCGGATGCCACTTGAACTGCCTTGGTTCAGTGCTTACCTTTAAGTAATGCAATCACCAGAGTTGTCGTTTTGATAAGATCTTGGGCTTTCTCTGCCAAAGAGTGCTGGAGCCTCACCAAGCTACAAAGCCCAGGATCTCATATCATTGATCCAGGGCAGGGAAAGGGGTGCCGATGCTTTAAAAGCACCTGTAATCTCAGTAAGAAGCAGTCTGTGAGTGAGGTGGGGGTCTTAGGTTTCAGTGCTTGCAGTCTCCTGAAAAAAGGGTCTTTGTGCCAAAATTCCTGGGGAAGGGAGGGAACAGGGGTATGTCTATCTATCTATCTATCTCTCTCTCTCTCTCTCTCTCTCTCTCTCTCTCTCTCTCTCTCTATCTATCTATCTATCTATCTATCTTCAGCTCTTTCATACTTAGGGTGACCCTATGGTCATCTTGGTAAGATTTGCCCAGCAAAGAGGTTTGCACTCCTTGGAGTTCTGGAGCCCCACCAAGCTACAAAGCCCTGGTTCTCATACCATTGATCCAGGGCAGTGAAAGGGGTGTCACTGTATTGATGCTGCAAATGCACCTGTAATCTCTGTGGGGAGCAGTCTGTGAGATTCTTACAGGTGGGGGTCCAAGGTTTCAGTGCTTGCAATCTCCTGAGAAAAGAGTCTTTGCCCCTAAGTTCCTGGGGAAGGGAAGGAAAAGATGTGTGTCTGTCTGTCTGTCTGTCTGTCTGTCTATCTATCTATCTACCTACCTATCTATCTATCTATCTATCTATCTATCTATCTATCTATCTATCTATCTATCTATCTATCTATCTATCTATCTTCAAGCCCTTTCACACTTAGGGCAACCCTAAGGTCCTCTTGGTAAGATTTGCCCAGGAAAGAGGTTTTCCCTTGCCTTCCTTGGAGTACTGGAGCCTCACCAAGCTACAAAGCCCAGGATCCTATAGTATTGAGCCAAGGCAATGGAAGGGCTAAAGATTCTACAAAAGCACCTGTAATCTCAGTAAGAACCAGTCTGTGAGCAAGGTGGGGGTCTGAGATTTCTGTGCTTGCAGTCTCGTGGAAAAGGGTCTTTGTCCCTAAGTTCCTGGGGAAGGGAACAAATAGCGGATATGTGTGTGTGTGTGTGTGTGTGTGTGTATGTGTGTGTCTATCGATCTACCTATATCTTCAAGCCCTTTCCTAGTTAGGGCAACCCTAAGGTCCTCTTGGTAAGATTTGCCCAGCAAAGAGGTTTGCCCTTGCCTTTCTCAGAGTGCTGGAGCCTCACCAATCTACAAAGCCCAGGATCCCATAGCATTGAGCCAAGGCAATGAAAGGGGCGTTGATGCTTCAAAGGTAAAGGTAAAGGTAGTCCCCTGACATTAAGTCCAGTCATGTCTGACTCTGGGGTGTGGTGCTCATCTCCATTTCTAAGCCGAAGAGCCAGCGTTGTCCGTAGACACCTCCAAGGTCATGTGGCCGGCATGACTGCATGGAGCGCCGTTACCTTCCCGCCGGAGCGGTACCTATTGATCTACTCACATTTGCATGTTTTCGAACTGCTAGGTTGGCAGAAGCTAGGGATGACAGCGGAAGCTCACTCCGCTCCCCGGAATCGAACCTGCGACCTTTCTATCAACAAGCTCAGCAGCTCAGTGCTTTAACCCACTGCACCACCGGGGCCCCCATGAGGCTTCAAATGCACCTGTAATCTCAGTAGGAAGCAGTCTGTGAGTGAAGTGGGGGTCTTAGGTTTCAGTGCTTGCAATCTCCTGAGAAAAGGGACTTTACCCCAAAATTCCCGGGGAAGGGAAGGAACACGGGTATGTGTGTGTCTATCTGTCTATCTGTCTATCTGTCTATCTATCTATCTGTCTATCTATCTATCTATCTATCTATCTATCTATCTATCTATCTATCTATCATCTATCTATCTATTTATCTATCTATCTATCCTATTTATACCCCACCTTTCTCTACCCCAAGAGGGACTCAAGGTGGCATTCATGATTACTCAGTGCCTTAAACACATACAACATTAAACTCTACATCCATTGCATTAAAATTAATACATAATTAGTACAGAAAGTTAAATAAAAGTATGATCTATCTATCATCTATCTATCTATCTATCTATCTATCTATCTATCTATCTATCTATCTATCTATCTATCTATCTATCTATCCATCCATCTCTTCATGCCCTTTCCTAGTTAGGGCAACCCTAAGGTACTCTTGGTAAGATTTGCCTAGTTAAGATGTTTGTCCTTCCCTTCCTCAAAGTGCTAGAGCCTCACCAAGCTACAAAGCCCAGATTCCCATAGCTTTGAGCCAGGGCAATGAAAGAGGTGTTGATGCTACAAATGCACCTGTAATCTCAGTAAGAAGCAGTCTGTGAGTGTGGTGGGGATCTGAGGTTTCAGTGCTTGCAGTCTCCTGAGGAAAGGGTCTTTGCCCCAAAGCTCCTGGGGAAGGGAAGGAAAAGGTGTGTGTCTTTCTTCAAGTCCTTTCCTACATAGGGCAACCCTAATGCACTCCTGGTAACATTTGCCCAGCAAAGAGGTTTGCCTTTGCCCTTGCCTTCCTTGGAGTGCTGAAGCCTAACCAAGCTACAAAGCCCAGGATCCCATAGTATTGAGTCAGGGCAATGAAAGGGGTGTTGATACTACAAATGCACCTGCAATTTCACTAAGAACCAATCTGTGAGCAAGGTGGAGGTCTGAAGTTTCAGTGCTTGCAATCTCCTGGAAAAAGAGTCTTTGCCCCAAAGTTCATGGGGAAGGGAAGGAAAAGGTATATATAGAGAGTGGGGGGAGGTCACTCCTGACATGAAAAAAATTGCTAAGTAAAGAGATTGGGATAGTCCAAAATGTATGCAGGCAGTCCTCAAGTTACAAACAGGATTGGTTCTGTATGTTTGTGCTCATGTTGAATTTGTATGTAATTTGGAACAGGCACATTTTTAAAGTGTAGCTCCAGCCATATATATGCATGTATGCATATGTGTATGTATATATATATGTGCGTGCGTGCACGCGCACATGCTTTGAATAGCATAGGGAAGAGTTAACAGCCCCGTGGTGTTTGTTTTGCTGTCTGTACCCCTGTTCAGAAAATTTCACCTCATTTTCTGTCCCTGTGATAATTGGATTTTGAAAAATGTGGCTTATTGTGGAAAGAAGGATTTGTGAACTGGACATCTTTTTGCCATGATAACTCTTCCGAAGTGAATTTCCCATCCGAGGGATTGATTTCTCACTTCCTGTTGTCTCACCCCATTCTTAATTATGAATTGTATGTAAGTCAGATGTTTGTAACTTGAGGACTGCCTGTACTTCCCAAGTTTTGAGGAAGTACATCTCTTATGTCTACTGTGGTGTCCAGATTTTTGCAATGCTGACAATATCCCTTGTAGTTTAGTAAGATTCAGTGACTTTCTCTTCATCCAGATAAATAGAAAGCACAAACAGTCTGGTTCACTGGGTTGCTGTGAGTTTTCCGGGCTGTTTGACCATGTTCCAGAAGCATTCTCTCCTGACGTTTCACCCACATCTATGGCAGGCATCCTCAGAGGTTATGAAGTCTGTTGGAAACTAGTCAAGTGAGGTTTATATATCTGTGGAATAATGTCCAGGGTGGGAGAAAGAACTCTTGTCTGCCTAAGGCAAGTGTGAATGTTGCAATTGACCACTTTGGTTAGCATTGAATAGCCTTGTAGCTTCAAAGCCTGGCTGTTTCCTGCCTGAGGGAATCCTTTGTTGGGAGGTGTTGGATATCTAAAACCAACTTGCCTAGTTTTGAACAGACCTCACAAACCTTGAGGGTGCCTGCCATAGATGCATGTGAAACATTAGAAGATAATGCTTCTGGAACATGGCCATACAGCAACCTCACAACAGAAAACTCACAGCAACCCAGTGATGCCAGCCATGAAAGCCTTCGAAAACACAGTTTGGTTCATGTTTATGATCTTGTCTATAAGTCTAGTTGGCAGCAATTATTTAAACATGATAATACTTTGATTTCCCACAAGTCCACCACTTCAATTTCCGCAGACGATAGTGACCAGTTGGAGACAGATGATAGTTTATTACAAAAAGTAGGAAAGTGATGAATAGAAATATTGCTTGTTGTCTGCATCCACAGACCTATTTTGCCATGGCATAGCTTACTTTAGTTAGTTTTCCAAACTTCAACTCCCAAAATGCCTAAACTGGTTTGGATGCTGGAAAGGGGGTGTTTGGGAAATGTAGTGCAAATACCTTTCCAAGCTCTGCTTGTCTTGGGTGGTGGTCAAGTAATTGCTTGAGTAAGCAAGACTTTACACTCGGATTGCATGTAGCTTTGGTTTAAGCCAAGGAAGCCTCAAGTGGCTGTGGTTCTGAACGGAAGTTCTGTAGTTAATCCAGCCAATTTTTCCTTGCTCAAAACCTGGTGTCCCCAAATTCCTTTTCACCCCTGCTGAGACTCCAGACATACTGTTCCCATTAAATGTGTCTGGGAAAGTGATGGGACTGAAAGAAACTGTCTCCCAAATATCTTCAGGCTCAAACAGGTGCTTATAACGTGACACATCCCTTCAAATAGGCAGGACTTGAGCCATATACACCTCAGTTTAGTGCTGAAGTAATCAATTTCAAGAACAGCTTCTGTACATAGAATGCAGCACTGTTCTTTACCTCAGGTAACCAAATATCTTGGGTGAGCTCTGCTTCCTACTCCTTCATACTCTTGGAGTGCCAGAGACTGCTGGGTTTGTCTTCATAAGCACTTACCTAAAAGTCAGAATTGCCTCTCATTGGAAGAATATTTGGCACACAAAAAAAACCCCACTTTTATTTGTGCTCCTCTTTCACCATCATTCAGTCTGATTAAACTGAAGCAGAGTTTGCCTGGAAGTCATTGCCTAACATCACTACTCCATCAGCTAGCCGACAAAGAAGAGTTAAACTAATGAACCAGAAAGCAAATGGATTCTTGTGGCGGTTTAAAATCTTGGGACTTTATCACACGAGAAAGACAAACTGGCATTGAAGCAGGATTGTCAACTTTGATGATAGTCTCTATTGCAGTGTTTCCCAACCACCCTAATGCTGCGACCATTTAATACAGTTCCTCATGTAGTGGAGACCCCCAACCATAACATCATTTTCATTGCTACTTCATAAATGTAATTTTGCTACTGTTACAAATTGTAATGTATATATCTGATATGCAGGATGTTTTTTTCTTTCACTGGACCAAATTTGGCACAAATACCTGATACTCCCCAAATTTGGAGGGGAGGGGTTGATTTTGCCATTTGGGAGTTATAGTTGCTGGGATTTATAGTTCACCGACAATTAAAGAGCATTCTGAACTCCACCAATGATGGACTTGAACCAAACTTGGCACACAGAAGTGCCATGACCAACAGGAAATATGGGAACGGTTTGGTGGGCATTGACGTTGGTTTTGGGAATTGCAGTTCATCTACATCCAGAGAGCACTGTGGACTCAAACAATGATGGATCTGGACCAAACTAGGCACAAATCCCCAATATGCCCAAATGTATACACTGGTGAAGTTTGGGGAAAATAGACTTTGATATTTGGGAGTTGTGGCTGCTGGGATTTATAGTTCACCTACAATCAAAGAGTATTCTGAACTCCACCAATAAAAGAATTGGGCCAAACTTCTCACATAGCAACCCCGTGACCAACAGAAAGGACTGTGTTTTCCGATAGTCTTTGGTGACCCCTTTGACACCCCCTTGCGACTCCCCCAGTGGTCCTGACCCCCAGGTTGGGAAATGCTGCTTCAGGACATATATGGAAGAACCTAACCTATTTTTGTCAGTGATTGTTCCCAGGCTTTTAACTTCCATAGTGTAGTGGATTGAGCACTGGACTATGATTCTGGGGACCAGAGTTCGAATCCCTGCTCATCCATTAAATCTATTGGGTGACCTTGGGAAGTTACATTCTCTAAGCTTCAGAGAAAGGTAATAGTGATTTCTTCTCTACAGAAAATCATGTATGGCCTTAGGGTTGCCATAAATTGGAAATGACTCCAAGGCAGAGAGGCTAGGATTGCTCCAACCATGCTGTCCTTTCCCCAGCAGCTGAAAATGTTTTAATCAAAGAGCATTCTGAACCCCACCAATAGAATTGGGCCAAATTTCCCACATAGAATGCCCATGACCAACAGAAAATACTGTATTTGGTGATGGTCTTTGGCAACCCTTCTGACACCCCCTCATGACCACCCAGGGGTCCCAACCCCTAGGTGGAGAAATGCTGGTCTGTTGTTTAACATCTCCCTCTTCCTGCCGTTAACCTGTTTCCCATATTCAATGGGCAAAACTAATCAATAACTGCCAGTTGTGCCATATTGCCTTCACCTATGGGCTATTCCACTTCTCTCCTGGTATGCCAGCACTGGTTCTGATGTCAGAGAGAGATGGATGGTACGAGCTGGAGTTGAAGAGGGGTTTGGAGCCACTGAATCTGATGGAAGCAAGTTTAAAAGGTGGCTAGGTGTCTTCAAAGTAAGGTGGCAGTTTTGGCTGCATGGGAGACAGAGGGGATAAGCTGGATAAGGGAAGAGATTGGAACCATTGGATTTGATGGGAGTAAGTTTATATTACAAACCCATGGAAGTGCAGGAGGGCAGAGTTCTGAGGTTATTTGGAGAATGTGGGATCATGACTCAGTTCTGCAAATGTGCAATAGTGAAGGTACTCATGCCGATATGCAGCCACTATCAGCAATAGCGTGACTGCTTTGGAATAGTGGCTTCAAGTAATAAAATCTTTAAGTAAATTGGAAATCCTAAACTGCTTTAGCCAACTTAGAATCCTAGAGTTGGACGAAACTTCGCAGGCCATCCAGTCCAACCCCCCATCAAGAAACAGGAAAATCACATTCAAAGCACCCCTGACAGATGGCCATCCAGCCTCTGTTTAAACACCTTTAAAGAAGAAACTCCCACCACACTCCAGGGCAGAGAGTTCCACTGCTGAACTGCTCTCATAGTTAGGAAGTTCTTCCTAATGTTCAGGTGGAATCTCCTTTCCTGTAGTTTGAAGCCACTGTTCCGCATCCTAATCTCCAGGGCAGCAGAAAACAAGCTTGATCCCTCCTCACATATTTATACATAGCCCTCATCATGTCTCCTCTCAACCTTCTCTTCTGCAGGCTAACCATGCCATCTCTTTAAGCCACTCCTCATAGGGCTTGTTTTCAAAACCAGTAGATCACGTGGCTAAAGAGGCAAGAGTATAATATTTCTTGTATTCCAGTTTTGAGAAAGTTGAAGAAATGCTTTTATGATTTCACTGAATATAGGATATGAACAGGTTCGAAGGCAAGTGGGTTGTTGTAGGTTTTTTCAGGCTATATGGCTATGTTCTAGAGGCATCTATAACATGTCCATATAGCCTGAAAAAACCTACAATAACCCAGTGATTCCGGCCATGAAAGCTTTCAACAATACAACAAGGCAAGTTTCAGATAATATGCAATCCACACTTTTTTTAGACGTGGGACTTCATTCCACGTAGTCTTCTCTCCATCTTAACACATTGGCAAAATGGATTCCCATGGAGGCCACCCCACGATGTATGGCTACTTCTGGTGGCTGCCCATGGGAATCTGTGTTGCAAGGATGTTAAAATGGAGAGAAGACTCCATTTCAGGAGTTGGATGCTGCCTGATTCAGTAAAACAAGGAGCAAGTGGGGAAAGCACAGAAAAGTGTGTGGCATTGCCAGCCATCCCAGTAGAATGGGAAAGATGGTAGGGAACAAATTAAGACAATTCCCTCTGCTTTTCCACGCCTTCAAATTGTCATTGTGATGAGGTACATAGTCCTTTCTTTTCCCAAACCACAACAAAGTGTAAAAAAGTAGAAGAAAGTGAAAGAGAGTCCCACCTACTGCAGGAAAAGATTAAGTCTTTCTGATTGCTAACTTTGATTTTTGATCACTCCCATAAGTTTGGAGTGGGGAGAGAGATTCAGGTTATTTTAGGAAGGGGGTGATAGGTTTGAACAGAGATAAGGAGAAAGAAGAAGGTAAAGAATAATGGAAGAGAAGCTATGGAGAAAGATAAACTGTCCCAAAATACCAACCTATCTATCCCTTTCTCTGTACATGAGATCTCAAATCCTGGCTTGCCAACTGGGATTTTCCTTATTGTTAAAAATTATTACAAAAGGAACAATGTTTCAGGTCATTGGTATTCAGCACCCAAGAAAAATTCCAATATTCCCTGCAGTCCAAATTGTCCATCAAGAAAAGGTATATTCTCTGGCACGTATACTTCATAGTGCATTTTGCTTTTTGCTTTTTTTAAAATCAAAGCCCTGTCCTGGGTCAGATAAATCTTATTCAACCACTTCTTGGACTTTTGAGATTCAATACAGCACAGAGTGTTTTACCTCCACCCAAAAAAACTAGTTTTCCAAGTGCACACTTGCTCTCTTCTGACACATTAAGTGTGTCATAGAATCATAGAATCAAAGAGTTGGAAGAGACCTCATGGGCCATCCAGTCCAACCCCCTGTCAAGAAGCAGGAATATTGTATTCAAATCACCCCTGACAGATGGCCATCCAGCCTCTGTTTAAAAGCTTCCAAAGAAGGAGCCTCCACCACACTCCGGGGCAGAGAGTTCCACTGCTGAATGGCTCTCACAGTCAGGAAGTTCTTCCTCATGTTCAGATGGAATCTCCTCTCTTAACATGCTTTGCTTAAACATCATCAGTGAATTCCAGTGTGCATTGACCCTGGAATCACGCTAGAGGATCTAAAGATTCTTAGGCTGGATCTACACTGCCATATCATCCAGATTATCAAAGCAGATAATTCACATTGTCTGTTTTTAACTGGATTACACTGCTATACAATCCAGTTCAAAATAGATATTCAGGATTTTATTTGGTAGTGTGGATCCTGCCTAAGAGAAGTGTGTGGTGTAATGTAAAATCACATGTAGTTCACATTTGACCAGTCCACACACTGTCTTGCCAGCTGAAGAAAATATGTCACGCAGATGATCAATAAAGAAAAATCATGTGTTCAGTTGCATCGACTCACATAATGTCCTTTTAGAGAGATTTAAAATGGTCTTTCTTTGTCCATGTGGAGAAACTCCTTCCAGCAGCTCATAGAGCACGAGCACACTCCAAACTCTCTCTGTGTGTGTCTTTCTGCAATCACCAACATAGCTCAAGCCTGAGAATGTAACAGTATCCAAAAGTCCCAGGCTCAGCCAGCTCCCCAGGCATAGCCTGGCCAATCAGCTTTGTGCATCTTATTCTACAGTTGACACACACACACTCTAACTGATTTCTTACATGCTCCATAAGGTGTTCTCTCAGATTTAAAAGTAGCATTTAAAAAAAATCCAGTTTCTCACTTCTGCAAGGATCTTGCACCTCTCGTCCCAGAAATGTCTTGGACTTCTTGTCCCTGATAGATTTTTATTGACACCTACTTCAACTCCACCCAAAAGTGCTTCTGACTCCACAATGCTGTGTCCCACTCCTGCTCATCTGAAGATGAGGTAGTAGCTTTTGACAGTAATTTAAATGACATTTCCTGTTCCTTTTTCAGGCCACTTCATGGGGAAAAAGAGCACAGGGGATTTTCCTTACATATACGAAGAACGGAATGAGTCCCCCTTCTCTTCACTGTCCGATAACATCAAGCAGCTGGGAGACTATTTGCAATGGGAGGAGACATTCAAGCAGTTCCTCAAGCTCCTAGATGGGAATGAAAATCGAAGCTCTCAGGTCCTCAGGGAAGAATTGCCATTTTCTGCCAAAAACGCTTGGGAGGCAGAGGACAACAGCAGTCTCAAAGACGTAAGTGCCGTGTTTGCAATAACCTCTAATTATGAATACATAAAGGTGCCAGGTGCCGTTCAATTCAGCTCAATTACTTGTTGGGAAAACATTATATTTGATACAAAGCGTGGTTCAATAGAGCTGAAAACACACCTGAAAAACTCAACAAGCAAGAGACGGAATTACTCATTTTCAAGTATCATACAGAATTGTTCAAAGTCTCCAGTTCAAGCACTCTATACACCAAATTGATTCATTGATTTCTAGCATGCTCAGAGTCCTTAACATGCAGTAACTTGTTATGTCTACAACAGTCCTTTTTGGGTAGGTCAGCATTATCAAGTCTGTGTTCTACATTTAGAGAATGGAGGATTAGGTGAAAAAGGAAAACCAACTACTAAGTCCATGGTAGAGTTGAGATCAAAATATGGATCTCTGTAATGAAAAGAATAATAAAATCATAGAGTTGGAAGAGACCTTGTGAGCCATCCAGTCCAACCCCATTCTGCCAAGAAGCAGGAAAACTGCATTCAAAGCACCCTTGACAGATGGCCATCCAGCCTCTGCTTAAAGCATCTAAAGGAGGAGCCTCCATCACACCCTAGGGCAGAGAGTTCCACTACTTAACAGGTCTCACAGTTAGGAAGTTCTTCCTCATGTTCAGGTGGAATCTCCTTTCATGTAGTTTGAAGCCATTGCATCCTAGTCTCCAGGGCAGCAGAAAACAAGCTTGTTCCCTCCTCCCTATGACTTCTCCTCACATATGTATACATGGCCCATATCATGTTTCCTCCCAGCCTTCTCTTCTGCAGGTTAAACATGCCCAGCTCTTGAATCCACTCCTCATAGGGCTTGTTTTCCAGACCCTTGATCATTTCAGTTGCCCTTCTCTGGACACATTCCAGCTTGTCAACATCTCCCTTAAGTTGTGGTGTCTAGAACTGGACACAGTATTCCAGATGTGGTCTGACCAAGGCAAAATAGAGGGGTAGCATGACCTCTCTGGATCTAGACACTATAATCCTATTGATGCAGGCACAGTTATAGTAGTTTGACACCACTTTAATTATCATAACCCTATGCTCTCAAATTCTGGAATTTGTAGTTCAGTGAGGTCCTTAGAATTTTCTGCTAGGTAGCTCTGAAGTGGATATTTATCACACCGTCTCAGGAAGTAAACTGTGTAGGAGATAAACAGCTCTGCCAAGAAGCAAACACCTTGTGGTTACTTTTGCCTTATTTTCTGCAAGGTAAGCCTGATCTATACTTTTTGTGCAGGGCCAGTGGTGACCAGTGATGCCAGTGTTCATGGGATGGTGAGTCTACTCTGGGTTTTAGTCCTAACTGTAAAGGAGGAGTCAGAGATGTTGGTCCCTTTTTCTAAATTAGTTCAGGACTTTGGATGAGGCTTGTAACTTGGCACTGATATGAAGTCATTCTTGCCACCAGTCAGACTTCCAAGGCATTTAGCGTTCCACTGCATAGGAGACGTCTTCCGGCTCTCTCACATAATTTACTGCTTCCACTGGTGAGACACAGACTAATCCTGCTTCTCTCTTCCTAAAGTTTCCACCCATTGTGTTTTGATCTTTCTTTTTGAAGCAACTACGGTACGACCATCATATCCACACAACCAATACCCATGGTTTCACATTTGAAAAAAAAATTCACATCCATTTTATAGGCCTTCCAACACAATTCCATGGCATGCATCCACCAAAAGTGGTTCATTTCAGTAGGGCTTCTATTTATCTATGAGTTCGTGTGTTTTTGGGAAGTGTAGCAACATACTCCATGTGGATATGGGGATTATATGATAATGGCAACTAACTACTTTTGGGGAATTTGGGACTAAAACTGTTATTTTTAAAATAGCAATTTCTACAGTTTTGTGCATTCTCTTTTCTTATCATCTTTTGTATCATCCCTAATTTTACATGTTCTAGCATAATCCAAAGTTACTCCTCATACATGCCACCAGCAGAAACCTAAGCTTCTACATTTCAGTTGTGTAGTGTAAACATTGTCAGTTTTGCTATATGGTAAATAAGTTACCTTATGTCAGAGGTCATCAAACTTTGTCAACAGAGGGCCAGGTCACAGACCCTCAAACTGTTGGAGGGCCGGATTATAATTTGGAAAAAAAAAACCACGAATGAATTCCTATGCACACCGCACATATCTTATTTGTAGTGCAAAAAACACTTAAAAACAACAATAATAAAAATGAAGAACAATTTTAACAAATATAAACTTAGTATTACAATGGGAAGTGTGGGCCTGCTTTTGGCTGATGAGATAGGATTGCTGTTGTTGTTGTGTGCTTTCAAGTCATTTCAGACTTAGGTTGACCCTGAGCGAGGGCCGGGTAAATGACCTTGGAGGGCCATATTCGGCCACCGGGCCTTAGTTTGAGGACCCCTGCCTTATGTAGTAAATGCCAGCATTGCGCAACTGAAAAGGAGTACCAAAAGTACAACTTAGTGCACAAAAAATGTTCATAGCCCCCTGTGCACAGTATCTAATGCATGGGTGTATATATGTACAAATCTGCTTCTGCTATCTTGAAACGAATGTCAGCATTCCTTGTTGGACAAAAACATTAAACTGTTTTAAGTACAGATAAGGTACCAACAGAATTCTATTAAGTGTGGGTCAGATGAGTTTAACCATTCAAAATGATTTTTATCCTTTTCAACGTATGCTCCTGCACCTTTAAATATTTTTCGTTTACTTACTTAGGCTAAATGATATCACAACATCAGTGAACACTAAATGTCTCATGCTTTTTGTCACTTTACTTGGTCATTAACTGACAAGTGACAATGAATCCATGTGAAATCGGCAAGTACACCCACCTGAAATATGCATTCGTGTCTATGTGCATGTATACCTCCACTTCTGGAGCCTTGAATGAAGAACCGATGCTTTGTGTCGGACTGAAGTATCCAAGCCTTTCTAAAAAGGAATGTAGGAGTCTAATGGAAGTTCAGCCCAAGACAGCAAATTGTACTATTTTACTACGTTGCCATGGGGTTTTTAGTGTCAGAAAGATAGAGAGAGCAGCTCATGTAATTTTCTATCTCATATACTATATATAGTCTAGGCTTCCTTTAAATATATTAATATGTGGATGGGGGCAGGCGAACACTATTTGTCTCAGACAATAAAGTACCTTGGACTGTGCTTATAATTAACACATAATGGGTAGGGTTGCTATGAGTTTTTCAGAGTGTATGGCCATGTTCCAGAAGCATTCTATCCTGATGTTTCACCCACATCTATGGCAGGCATCCTCAAAGGTTTCCAACAGATCCCTCACCCTTTGAGGATGCCTGCCATAGATGTGGGCGAAACGTCAGGGGAGAATGCTTCTGGAACATGGCTATACACCCCGAAAAACTCACAGAAACCCAGCGGTTCCAGCCATGAAAGCCTTCAACAACACATAATGCTCACTATTTATTTATTTACTTATTTATTTATTTATTTATTTATTTCATATATTTATATCCCGCCCTTCTACCCACAAGGGGGACTCAGTGCGGCCTCACATGAGCATCAGAGGATGCTAACAGCATAAATACCATAAAATTACAATTCACAATAAAATCATTTTAAAACATTGTACAGCATCATCAGTAAAATTTAACAATCAATTAATAAATTAACGTGCCAGTAAAACTAAGCCAAGCTGGGAGAATCCATGTCGCAAAATCCAATTTTTTTTTCCTATTGCCGCTGGCCTCTAATCGAACGCCTGGCCCCAGAGCCAGGTCTTCAGTTGTCTTCTAAAGCACAGGAGGGAGGTGGCCAACCTGATGTCCTTAGGGAGAGAGTTCCATAGATGGGGGGCCACTGCTGAGAAGGCCCTGTCTCTCATCCCCACCAACCGTGTTTGCGAGAGTGGTGGGATCGAGAGTAGGGCCTCTCCTGATGATCTCAAGCTACGTGATGGTTCATAGCAGGAGATACATTCGGACAGGTAAATTAGTGGCTTCTAGATCAGTGAGATGATTGAATTCACTCCAGGTCTTGTTCTGAACCCTAAAGTTGCTATCTAAGGCTGCTTAACTTATTTTGGGAACAGGGTTCATCACTTGGGATGGCTCCTTTAAAGTTTGGGACAAAAACTAGAGTAGATCCACCACCTCACTGACAAGGAATCTTCTAGCCACCTCTGCATACATGTCAAAGGACACCGGATGTTTTTATGAGAAGGTTTTCAAATTCTTTCTTCTCTTTTTTCTTTCATCAGATGATGGATTATCTTCTGCAAGCACTGGATAGAAAAGAAACTTCTCCTAGTTGAAGCTGCTGTCACCTGGAACTGAAGGCATAGACTAATATCCTTAAGAGACTATGTTTTCATTAGCATTTTGTTGTATATGATAACGGATGAATTTCCTTTTGTGTTAAGCGAGATTTACTTTCCGTGTAAAATATCCTGTTCCCTTGTATTTCTAACACCGATGATTTACACTCCCCAGCGGCTTCCTCCCTTGCAAGCAGCATTTGATTCTTTTTAACTGCTTTGTTGTACATAATTGTCGATGAAGGGTCTTCCAATTCTATGATGGTACTTTGCGCTCTCTCTTTCTCTCTCTCTCCATCCAGTCACTTCATCTTTTATGTTACACAATCAAGCAAGATTCACAATAAATAACTCTCTCTCTCTCTCTAAGATTGTGAGTGAGTATTTTTTTTACTGAGCCAAAGGTGCCGTATCCTGGGTGCTGAATGTATTTTGGAAATAGGATTCTACCTCTTAGATAGTTGAAGCCCTTTTCCTGAAAGTAAAAGAACAAAACTCAAACACAGGGGAACTCCAGACAAGAAACAATCAGGACAGCTAATCACCTCTCAACAAAGGATTYCCCCAGGYACTAACAAGMMACACCTAAAAACTGCCAGGCCRTCAAATGCTAATCAAGGYGGCYRATTGAAACATTCACACCTGGCTCCAACAGACAAGAGTTCTTTCTCCCACCCTGGACTTTCCACAGAARTATAAACCCAATTTTCCTAGTTTCCAACAGACYTCACAACCTCTGAGGATGCCTGCCATAGTGGGTAGGGTTGCTGTGAGTTTTTCGGGGTGTATGGCCRTGTTCCAGAAGCATTCTATCCTGACRTTYCACCCACATCTATGGCAGGCATCCTCAGAAGTTTCCAACAGATCCCTCACCCTTTGAGGATGCCTGYCATAGATGTGGGYGAAACRTCAGGAGAGAATGCTTCTAGAACATGRMCMTAYAACCTGAAAAMCCTACAACAATCCAGTGATTCCAGCCATGAAAGACWTYRACAATTAAAATCTGAAKCATGWTTTATTTWTTTATTTACCATACTTRTWTCSTRCCTTTCTCAACCCCAAAGGGGACTCAAGGCAGCCTTACAAAGGCAASAATTCAATGCCACATGTACACATACATCAATGATTTTTTTTAAAAAAACATTAAAACCAACCAATTAAAACATAAGATTAAAACAAYAATTAAAATCACATAATCCAGRTCATATTCCAGGGTCAGTCCGGGTCATCATTAAGTTAAWTTATAKTMTCTWATTGCACTGCTCCCATTATTGACCAAAAGCYTGATCCCAGAACCATGTTTTTAWTTTTTTTCCTGAATGCCAGGRGGGAGGGGACAAATCTAATTTCACTGGGGAGGGAGTTCCATAGACGAGGGGCCACCACTGAGAAGGCCCTGTCTCTCATCCCCACCAGTCATGCTTCGAGGAAGGTGGGACCAAAGGCAGGGCCTCCCCTGATGACCTTAGTGTCTGAGGTGAATCATAGAGGGAGATGCATTTAGACAGAACAATTTAGGGCTTTATAGGCCAAAGCCAGCACTTTGAATTGTGCTCGGTAGCAGACTGGCAGCCAGTGTATGCTCCCCTGTGATGAATATACTGTTGTATGCTGGATATTCATCACAGTTCAGCCATGCAGGCCATCAGAGCCCCCTTGGATACCAGCTCCACTGGCTGCCAATTAGCTTCCGAGCACAATTCAAAGTGCTGGTGTTAACCTATAAATCCCTAAACAACTCCGGCCCAGTTTACCTGTCGAACGGATTCTCCCCTATGAACCATCAAGATTGTTAAGATCTTCTGGAGGGGCCCTGCTCTCAGTCCCACCATCCTCGCAATCGCGTCTGGTGGGGACGAGGGACAGGGCCTTCTCGGTGGTGGCCCCTTGGCTCTGGAACTCTCTCCCACTGGAGATTAGAACTGCCCCTTCTCTCCTGACCTTTAGAAAACAGGTGAAAACCTGGCTCTGGAAACTGGCATTTGACGAGTGAGTCAATAACCCGCGACTACATGGACGGATGGTGATGAACTACGATTTTATTGTGACGACTTGGCCAATGTAATTATATGACTGTATTTTAGTATTTTAATGTTTTAGTGTATTATAGGATGTGATGTTTTTAAATGATTGTTTGTGATACTGTTGTTGTGAACCGGCCTGAGTCCCTCTATGGAGGTGAGAAGACCGGTATATAAAAGTTCTAAATAAATAAATAAATAGGTAAACTAATAAGGGCCAAGATCCTGCATCACAGATATAGCTTTCCAGTTATGAATACATAACTAGAATGCACTCTGATACAAGCCCTTCCCAAGCCTATCTTAATGGACTGCAGCTGCACCAAGTGACAGTGATCTGTTGCATTGTCTTATCAGGATGCAGCAGGATGATGCTGGTGATGTTTCCTGCTTCCTTATGTCAGCAAATCCTGATGCAACAATCAGAAGCAGGACCACATCTCATTGGAGATAATTAGTGCAAAGTCTGATAATGTTATCTTTTTGCATCCTGACTGCTCGCAGAACAGACTTCAGTCACTTGATGCAACTGCTGGCTAATAAGGTAGGTTTGGGGAGAGGCAATACTTACATGATTGCAAACATGAATACCAAATAGTGACAAAAGTGTAAGTTTAGCTTACCAATTGGTATTCCCTGTTATTTTTCTTGACCAGCATCTTAATTAACACATTCATAACTGCTCAACGGGATACCAGCCAAGAAAAATAATGTAAAACATTCATTAGTACATAATGGCTTCTTTGAAATTCATTGTAGAAACACGTTTGGATTTTGTAGATCAAAGATAAACAATGGATGGCTGTCCAGATGTTTGGCTGTGGCTCCAGTCAGCTCTGCTGAAATTTAATTTGCCCACACCTGCATTAATATAGGTCACCGTCATTTGCATACCTCTTTTTAAACTTTCGAAGGAATCCAGCTCATGACTCTGGGGAAAAGGGAGAGCTGGAGGCAGAGTGTTGAGCTAGAAGCAACCCATTCCTTATATTTTAAAATCATGCTCTTAGAAAACAAACTCAGGTAGTTTCTTCTGATGGCCAAAAAATTTGGTAGCCTTGAAAAAAACAGAGATACACACAATTCTGAGATTTGCAGAATTGTGTGTGTTTTAACATAACTGCTTATGTAGGCAATCCCTCCATGCCCAAGGACAGCGTAATAAGGACTGAGCATGCTCAGCAGCCACAAAAAGGAAATGGGCTAACTGAGAGGGAAGAACATAGTATGTGAGGACTATCTTGGAGAAAGACGTAGCTGATTGGCTTGAATGGGAGCAGTGCTGTTGGAAGATGAAAATCCACTGCAATATTGTGTTGTGGCTCCCAATAGCAACAAGCAAATAGTAGCTAATGGCTGAAATATTGGCCAACACCAATGAGTTTAAGCATACCTAAGCCCCCGGTGGCACAGTGGGTTAAAGTGGGTGAGCTGCTGAGTTTGTTGACTGAAAGGTTGCAGGTTCGAATCCAGGGAGCGGCGTGAGCTTCCACTGTCAGCCCCAGCTTCTGCCAACCTAGCTGTTCAAAAACATGCAAATGTGAATAGATCAATAGGTACCGCGCCAGTGGGAAGGTAACGGCGCTCCATGCAGTCATGCCAGCCACATGACCTTGGAGGTGTCTACGGACAATGCTGGCTCTTTGGCTTAGAAATGGAGATGACCACCACACCCCAGAGTCTGACACAACTGGACTTCATGTCAGGGGAAAACCTTTACCTTTACTAAGCACCCTAAAGACACTAGATCTTATCTAATATTGGAAACTAAGCAGAGTTAGCCCTGGTCAGCATTTAGGTGGGAGACCACCAATGAATACTAGATGCTGTAGGCTATATTTCAGAGGAAGGAGCTGTCAAAACCACCCCAGAGTATCCCTTGCTCAAGAAACTATATGAAATTCACACAGGTCAACAGGTAACTTGAAGGCATGGACATGCACAAACATGTAACTGGAGGCTGAATTTTGGGCACCAATGCATAATTGGATACTAATATATCATCCATGCGCAGGACCCTCGTTATTTAGGTGTTGGATGGAGGCCAGTATAGTGTAATGGTGCAAGCATTGGACTACAACTCTGAAGACCATGGTTTGAATCCCCATTCATCCATGGAAACCAACTGGGTCATCTGGGCAAGTCACTCTCTCAGATGAAAACACTCTCTCAGATGAAAAGGCAGCCCTCCTTCCCCAACCAAATCTTTCCAAAAAGTCAAGTGACAAGTTCTTTTTATGCTTGCCATAAGTTGGGAATAAATTGAAGTTACACAGCAATAATAAAGAAGCCTAATACATTTTTTTAAAGCAGTGGTTCTCAACCTGTGGGTCCCCAGGTGTTTTAGCCTACAATTCCCAGAAATCCCAGCCAGTTTGACCACTGTTAGGATTTCTGGGAGTTGAAGGCCAAAACATCTGGAGACCCACAGGGTGAAAATCACTGCTTTAAAGGATGATTCATCAGTGCCTGTCCAGAACTAACAGATTGGATTTAGCCTCGATTGTTTATAACAGACCAATTGAAATCAGTGCAGCTCAGTCACCACACACTGAAGTCCCAGTAATGGCTAATTCATGACTATGTAGAGTCAATCCGGTGAGACAGGCTGGTGAAGTAATCTTGTAGGGAGAAGTCAAAGTGTAGCTCTGAGACCATGTGGTGTACACAGGTGTTTTTTGGGGGGTGACATTTTTAAAAATGACAGTTATTCAAAATTCTGACCAATTTTTGAGAGGTGATTTGTTTTCTAGCATCTTGGTAGTCAGCATGACCTCACAAGTGTCCCACAAGCAGAAGAATCTCCTGAAGTTGCTGAAGTTATTCACCCCTATAACAGGATTCCTCGAGAAGAGGTTGTAATAAAACCATCTCAAACAGATCACCTTGTCTCACACTTAGATAATTTCAAAGTCTAGGGTTACTTTTGGCAGGGATTCTAAGAACTTAGCCTGGAATGTGTCATTTTGTGTGTGTGTGTGCTAAAACTAGGAGAAAAACACTTTGAAGGTGAAGATATAGCTTCTTGAGGACTTGGATGGGGTGTTTCAAGCTCTGTGAATTGTTCTAGACCAGATGCTCAGAACTAGAGATCAGGTCTAGAAAGAACAAGGCCAGCATATGCTTCTGTATCTAAACCAAGAGCAGCACATGGCAACCCCCTTCAAGTCACAGTATCCATCACCTAAAGCCAGTTAACTTGTTTAGGTGTATGTCTCAAACAAAACCCAATGTACATTATTCCTTATCATAGCAGTAAACATTTCTCCCCAAATAGCAAAGTAAATAATTTCAAGTTTGCTATCCTTTCTTGGCTACCAAAAACTACTGCTGCAGTAGTGT